TTCTTGTTGTTGCTCTTCTTGCTGTTGCTCTTCTTGCTGTTGTTCTTGTTGCTGACCTTGTTGTTCTTGTTGTTGCTGACCGCCTTCGCCTGCGGCTCCAGAGGCGAGGGTCGACATCAGCTCTGATGCTGATTCCGCTGATCCCAGCGAGATTTCACCATCACCGACTACCAGGGCGGGAGAGTAAGCGCCCAGGTTGATGTTAAGTGGGATGGCAGAGGCCACAGCCGCGAAAAAGAGGACGTGTTGAGGAAGCATATTGTCGTTGGGTTCGTGAGGGTGACTGAATTATAGACTTTCGACTACGATTCGATACGTTGACTTGAAGTGAAGGTAGAAGAAGAAAGAGTGTTCGAATGAAACGACTACGTGATCTTCTCAAAAGTATAAAGTAACGACAAGAAAGTCTATCGCCCGGCGACAGAAGCACTGATTAAGATAATCGGTAGTGAAGTGAAAGTGAGTGGCCGGCCTACCAAGAAGAAATTCAAGCAGTGGGTTCGACTGGCCTTTTATGGGTCGCAAAGTTATCGGGATGTCCTCGACCCCCGCCAAGCCAGTCCCGCTGTTTTAACGCGATGTTGAAACTTCTGTGAAGCCGGGCCAAGAGTCTGCAAGTGCAGCATTGGAGACATCCCAAATTATTGCCACTGCACAATCCGCCAAGCCAATTCCACCGTTTTAAGCCCAGCTCGAAACTTCTGTGATGCCGAGCCAAGCAAGATTAAGCCTGCAGCTAGCAGAGAGTCGCGCATGGAAGGTATATGGAGAACAGCCGTGCACGAGGCCTCGAGCTGCCTCGCCAAGAAGCGAACGGCGGTTGCCCTGTTGCAGCCAAGAGTCCATACCGATTCGGGCTGCACATCTTGTCACAAAACGGCCCTTCATGGGGAAGGAGCGAGATTCGCACGCAGTGTGATTGTGAGAACGTTTGTTTCTAGTCGCAGCGGCTAAAAATACGAGTCGAGATACCTCTCAGGGTTGTATGGAATGCTGATGGAAATGGTGAAGAAGCTATGTAAGAGATGTTTGCCTGAGGCGTTCTCTGGCGTCTATACCGAGCGGTTCTGGAAAGAGCAAGCAAATAGGCGTTCGCATGAAAGTGGCAAGGCGACAATTGGCAATGCTTAAGGAAGCAAGCACCCTTCCCAATGAGCTTGAGATGCCAAGAGCGGAATGTGAAGAGCAGAGGTGCACGGAAGTACGATGAGAAGCAGTGCCAAGCGCAAATACCTGAGCCTCTAACCGGATAAGAGTTGTCCAGAGATGTCCTCAGGCACGACAGCGCAAAGACGAGATCGTGACCTCTTGGCCCCGTTTCTCCACGGGGATTCGCCTTGGGTACATAGCAAGAACTGTCATACCAGGCGTTCAGGCATGGCTTTGAGCTTAGAGGAGAAAAAGCTTCGCTCGAGACGGTCGGCGTATGAATTAAGTGGAGAGGACGAGAGCTTCGGAGCTGCAGGATGTGAGGTGCCTGTTCAGGCAGTGAAGCGTCTTGGCCTCGGCAAAGGTGCGACAATATGTTTCTTGGCCAAACGAGTAGACTACCGAAGAGAGTCTGGAGGCGTGTATCAACATTGCGCCTAGACAGGGGATGCCGCGTTCAAAGATGAACGTGCATGTGCACATAGCTTACGCGGTCTTTGCGGTCTTGACGGGAGCTGCTTTAGGCTGTCTCACAGGGAAGAGATCGTCTATTTGAGGACTTCGGACAGGATTCTCGGCGCATATGCAGGCGCGGAGAGGCTGGAACTGCTCGATAGAAGATGGAATATTGTGTGTGATGAACATGGTGGTGATGGATGATTGGTGAGAGGGTTGGGAGGCGGCTGGGAGGATGTATTGGAAACCGAAATATTCATCTCCCGGCGACTTGTTTCTCCGATCCGAGCATACTCCTGGATTTTCAAAAGTGTCGCGTGCCCCATCGCCTTTTTGGGGGAGGTACTCTGCAGTGCTTTGCTCTCCACGCTGTCTACCACTCCATCTCACCCACAATTATTGTTGCGAATTGGGTGGTTCCACTCTTGCAGTGAATGTTTATATTTTACCAAGTGTTCATCGCTCGTCGCCCAGGCCCTAAGGCATCCAAATCGCCAATGTTTGAACCATCGATCTGGACGAGCTTCTGGGCGGATTGGCTTTGGAAAATCGTATGATGCCCAGAGCACATCACTTCGAGCACCTCAGCAAAGTCACACTGCCCAAGTCTTCTCCGCAGCAAGATCCATCTTTCCCCAGGATCCAACGATACTAAGAGCAGTCAGTAAAGTAGCTGAGACGCGGCAAGCTCTTAGATCTAACTAGTAGCAGAGAATTCAGTACATTATTTATCGCAACTCTTTCACAGTTCGAGACTCTCAGAGAACCTCGCAGGCTCAACCTCGCACTGGAATAAGCGACACTCCATCAAGACAACGAAGCCAGTTGCGTTTAGTCTGCCAAACCTGCTTTCAACACTTCTCCCGGTCGTACGTAAATCCCTGCAAAATTCGGCCATAGAAATCGTCAGCACTTGCTGGCCAGACGGTGGCTGATAAGTTTGTCTCCCCTTCGAGAGTCACTTCGGTCTTCATGTTGATCACCTTTTTATCTTCACAGCCGGTTTTCCACTTCTTTGTAGGAACTGTAGATCTTGCGAATTCTTGACCCGCGGTCATGGGGTCAATGGCACGAGCTATGCGTATCTCATCGACAGATTGTAGTATTCTGTCAATAGGACGATCAATCACGAAAACCTAAGGTACCTACTTCATTACCATCCGGGAGATAGTACGTGATCTTCCACACAGCGGTGATTCCCTGTGGCAGTTTGTACCGAGCAAGAATTGAGGTGCCGTTTTTTGTCCACATTCAAGCGATATCCCGGTGCATTCACGATCTTCCATTCGTGGACACAAGACTTAGATTGTTCACCTTTCACATCTGGAAAGATGGCTGCCCCCATAGTCGACGGCAGATTGAGCGCGTACGTCCAGATCTGAGTGTCACGCGCTCCCCGCATGTAGTCTATGACTGTGGTACGGCGATCAGCTCCCTCGCCTGGACATCCTGTACCTGAAGATTTCACGGGTACAATGGTCGCGCCATTAGGAGGAAAGACAATGTCTTTGGCTGCAGGGGCGGCCCAAACGTAGCCCAGGAAGGCAGAGAGAGGGAGGAAGCCAAGCGTCTTCATATTGCAGAAACAATGCCAGGTACGTTATGAATTAGTCCTCTTCGTCGTGCTACCAGAAATGCTGAGTTTCCAATGTTGACGAGGCGTCGTTGCGAGCAGGACAAATAGCCACTTTATATATCAAGAGCAGCTATCGGTAAGGTAGAATGGGTCCTGAAAACAGTTCCGAACCCGACAGGATGAAGGTGGTTGCACAACGTCTGCGGTGGTTAAATGGCAATGAAAAATATTGTATTGTGCTGCAGAAAGGATTCTTCTGCCCATTGTTGACGTATGGAAGCAGCGCTGTCGGAAGCAACGCTCCGAAATCATCATTCAGACAGCCGACCTCTAGGCACTGATAGCACTTGAGATTGGGATACTTCCCAGACTTAAGATTTCTTCACATCATTGTCGGTACAGGGCAGAGATGCTCCTCGTGATGTGGACAGTGGATGCTTTTGTCAGTATTCTAAAATGCCTCCCTGATGTGCTTAGAGGTTCTTCAACAAGAATAGCGCGCTGATGATCAAGAACTCATAAATCCAGGTCGAATTGCGGGGCGCACAATGAAAGATACTGACTCAGGCTTCGTTTAGGCTAGAGTCCGGGACGTAATTAATCTACGATAGACTGCGTCGCGGCATGCTATGCCACACTTAATAAAGTTCCAGTTCATCGTACACTTCGGTGTAGACGGGAGGTCCAATGCCATTTGTGTTGAGGGGGTTTCTGAGACCTGAGCAATGGGAAATGGAGAGGATGGGTTCTGGTTCTGGGTACCGAATCTGAAGATATTGTGGATGTGGTGAATACGGATATCGGTCCCGAATCTTATTGCGGCACAGGTCGATTGGGTCATGAAAATGGTATTGATGATGTCATTCCAGGGACGGCGATGAGGCGATAGTCCAAAGCGGGATGATTGGAAGGAGAGCGGAGGGTTCGGCTAGTAAGCCTTCTTGGCACCTTGGCTCAGACGCATTCCGCTATCTCGAAAAGCTCTCCTGCAGCTTTCCAACCGCGCGACATTAAACGCCTCATTCACGCACGTACAGTGCATTTCTCGCGCGAGAGAGCTGCTACAGTGCAGCCCAAGCCCATTGCTTGATCAAACCCAAATATCAAACTAATTTCGCTTTCGACTGGATTCTCTCCGCACATTTCCTCTAGTCCGTCAAGCTCTCGATCTGTTGACCCTTGACCCCAAACGGCAAATTTTTAACAATACGACTGACTTTGCGGCGAGCAGATACTTCTTCATTTGCCTTAACCTTTGTCTCGCAATTATGTTCCCGGCTTTCATACCGATCTCGGAACGAGCGATGCCAACTTCCTGCCTTGTGCGCTGCCTCGACACTCCTTTTCCCGCATTCTCCCAGGCCTCCACTGACACTATACACAGTGTAGCTTTATATTGAGAAGGTTTGTAGAGGTGTTAGCTCATGCTTAATGGCAATTGGCAGGGTTATATATTGTCTACTGCCGTGACGCGCCTTTCAGGTCATTGTTGAGAAGATCGCATACCTCCAAGCATAGTATACCTCAGTAGAAGTCTATTACGTGAAATTCCGTTGAGATTACGCATAAGATACGTCAAAAGTCCTCTGGGTGTATCTCAGTCATTTAAGCAGCTAATGCAGATACCTACGTGGACAGCCCCACTTAGCGTGCTCGTTACACCATCTCTATCGAAATTTCATAGGTCTAACGTTTCCTCGCCACCAAAATAAGGGAAGCTGCTGCTGCAGACATGTTTACGTTTAATTCCGACCTCTCAGTTTTAGCTTTACGATATAATTATTCCAATTGGAAAAATTTCTCATAACAAGTTAAAAATGGCTCGATGGTGTAGTTGGTTATCACGTTTGCCTAACAGTATCTCCTGCTCGCAAAAGGTCTCCAGTTCGAACCTGGATCGAGTCATCTTTTTGCTTTTCTTTTTGCCCTCGAATTTTTTTATTAATCCAGAGCAGCGCCTCGAGGTCTGATTATTCTTCCATGTTTCTTCAGACGATATTTTCTCTAGGGAAGTTATGGTCCTGACGTCAATTGTTATCACTATCTCCATTTTTAAATTCTTTTTAATTTCCGTTTCCACTTCCCTATCCACGAAATCTCACAGGGATTCCATATTTATTATTGCTTAGTTCAAAACCCTTTGCATGTTCCCTTCTACCTCCCTTTTTGCCTAAGGTCTCTTTCGGCCTTTTACGTCTATAAGGACCCCAGAGAGCTATTTGTCCGCAGGCTTACTTCACCGCCGAGTCATCTATTATCGCCTTCTTTCTGCCTTTTCCAACTTCTTTTGTATGATCAGGACGTTCACTTCGTGGCTGTTTCTTTTGTGTCGAAAATGGCTATGTAGTGTGTATCTGAGAGAGAATAGAGGCCGAGTTCACGCTGAGTCATTTGATTAAACATTCCTTTTCATTCTTTTTTATTCGCTGAATATTTATCGTGGAATTACATTTTTGTGGGACTAAAGGTGAGCTCTGAAGTGACGGCTGGGTCGAAGTGGCCGAAAATAGGTGTGCTCCCCGCAAAAAGGTCTTTTAAACGAATTATAGTGCTCACTTCATGTCCAAGGTAATGTGCTGGGTCGTAAAGTTGCCGGGGAGTGGAATTCATCTACAATACATGTAGGTGTAGTTCACATCATGTGCTGTGCTCACATTCCCAAGGTTCTTATTGACTGAGCATTACACACTTATCGCTGTCAACGTACAATAAAGTCTTGGCATGATGTTGGCCAAAATGGATGCAACATGGCGCCGTTCTAAACATCGCATACCCTTTAGGCATCCTTGCATCGGTAACCTTCTCACTCCAACATACTCGATATAGTCATGAATACAGTGACGGATAACATGACGGTGCTTTCACCGCCGATCCGCAAACCAAATATTGAAAAGGCTTTCGGTAGCCTCCCCTTGAGAGAGATGTTCTATGTTCATCACTTGTCACGGTATGTGCCTACACAGAATATGGGACCAGAGCGACTAATGGCCATGGTGATCAAATCAAGGACAGCTTTGCATGGAACTAGGATCATCCTTTGCCAGTTTCTCCAGAATCAATCGGTATTTTTGACTTTATCCTTGAGCTCTACGCAAGCTGTTCAGGGACCAGGATGCCTTCGTTACGGAAGGCTGGATAATGCAGGAGGACTGCAACGCATTTCTTGATTATGGTGCAAGTTTTCTTTCAAATATAAGGGATTATTACGTTAACATCGTTTGACCAGCTTTAAATCTGGTATATGGAAGTAGCGATCAATAGTTTATACCCTCAGCTTTCCCAAGTTCTATAAAGAATCTTGCAGAGAGATCCATCAAGCTGAGAGAATTTACGAGAAAATGTCTCAGGCGATGATGACACTGCCAGCGTACGGATTAGGATTCCAAACGATCGAGCGCAGAGCGTATACCACCTGGAGGATCCATTATCAGCCAAGAGGAGATCACTTTCGTTTCCCGGCATGAAAAGAGCACTCGGTTCTACCGGAGAACACCCGGACCCGAAAGATTTCGGACACCGAAGGTCAGATATTCGAAGTCCTCCAGGCATCAGTCGGCCAAGATTCTTCTCCCGTAGAATTCTCTTTGCTTGGCCTTAAAGGGACGATAAGGACCCAGCGCGGAGATCAACTCCAACGAGCTTGCGAAGGTCTGCTCTAGCTTGTCTAAAACGCCCAGTATGCAGCGAATGACAAACAGTAGACTTTCTAGTCTCGGTATATCAAGAGCTTTCAAACAGAGGGTCTTGACGCTTATCGGCAGTCTCAGCGGACATGGATCAAAGACAAAAGCCCCTGAGTAGAAAATTATTTTCGGTTTCGTAGAGCCATACAGAGACCTTATGAAATCCTGGCAGAATTCGAAGGTGTCGTGAGCATCACAGATCCCGAGGAAACGAAGACTTTAATGAAGCTTGTTGAGCGTTCCAGCACATTTATCAAGCGACTTCCTTGGGCTCTAGGAGAAGAGAATGACGGCAAAGGGCCATTCGAAAAAGCGCTCTTTGAGCCACCAGACTTCCCAAGTATTCACGGTAAGGTTTACAAGCTTGCACTAGGTAATTCTAACCTTCGCACAGCTCTCGCGTACTGCTTGAGTATCATCTTCCCAGGGATTGACTTGCCGAATGTATGCATCACAACATGTCACGTTAAGACTTCGTCTAATAATGTGTTCAGTATAATGATACTCGCGAACAATGCAGTTTTGAGAATGTGATTATTGCAAATTATTGAGCGCCGAAAGTAATAAGGCTCGAGCTAACCCCTTCGTTGGTCCTCCAGAAATGGAAACCTTCTAAAAGCGCAAATACGCCGCGTACTATTGGTGGGTCGTCCTCCATGAACTGCTCGGCCATGGCACTGGGAGGATGATGGCCGAGGAACCCATCAGCAAGTTCAATTTCGATATCAGCAATCCACCCATAAGTCCCCTTATTGGAAAGCCGATAGCGTTCTAGTACAGCATGGACAGCCTAGAAAGGACAATTCGGTGCTTTAGCAACCACGGTTAACGTTTATAGGGCTGAACTTATTGGTGCTTACCTCATGGATGACTTTAAATTATTGGAATTATTCGGGTTCAATGAGGGTCAGAAACCACTGCCGAAGATTGTAGGTTTCACATATTGTGCAATGCCATCATAACTAACTCCAGTTGAGTAACTTATAACACCTATATGCAACTGTGGTTCAATGGGTTCCGTGACCTGACCAAAGCCAACGTCGAGAACGGAGTTAGTACTCTTCCTAAGTGGGCCACTTCTTGTCCAAACAACGCTAGCTTCAAAATCTCAGAAATGAGGATAGGTGCACAGTGGGTACGGAATAACTCCTATCTCATTTCTAGCCTGATGTCTGACAGATTTAGGCTCACTTTGCAATTTTGAAGTGTCTTTTGCTTGATGGTGGAGGTTGCATCTATGTGGACTGCGACACACAAAAAGAGTCATCGTCTGTGTTGATTAGTCGAAGATTGCCTCTCATGGCAGACCGGCACTGGGCCGCATGTTGCTGAGGTTGCACATGTACCGCTGCATCGCTGATGCCCAATCATGCTGTGATTACTACGAGGAGCTGTCACCAGTCCACGATGAATATCTTGTGTGGAGGGATATTGCCTTAACGCAGAGACAGCCGAAATAGGCTTTTGCCCAGGCGACCACTTTCCTTTATGGCGAAGAGGTGACCTTGAAAGAGTATGAACCGACGGTAAAAGGCGTGATTAAGAGTTAGGCTGAGCGAAAGGTGTAATGTGGTCCCGGCCGAATCTCACGGGTGTTTTATATGAAGGCTGACTTGCACGGTCTGGAGGATAACTTGGAGAAAAGCCAGTATAATCCCTATTCCGCCAATAATGAGCACAGCTCAAAACGAAAACCAAGAAGCCAAATCTCTCTTGTCGTTCCAGAGTCCTTTCCAAGTGCGTGCTCGTTTGTTCCAGAGATGCCGCACCAAACCTGATACTCCTTAGAACAGGAAAGTCACGGGCTAGGACGTATCCATCTTATTCGCCGAGGCCATTGGCAACGTGACATCTCTTTTCACCACAAAGGGTCAGAAGACCCCTGTCTTGGCTTTCTTCAGGTAGGTCTTCAAACAGCTTCAAGGCGTGGAAGAGTTGTCGAGACGTTTTGCTCTGACCAAAGAGCGGACTGTATGACAACAATACCTCTTGGAGAAGATCATTCATTTCATCTGAAGTCACCCAATGTGATGCAGCGACATGTAGTGCTGCACAGGTGTGAAGTATCGTCTTCAGCTGCTGTTGCCTCTAATTAGGTAGATTTATGATGCAGAATGATGGATGTCGAAAGAGATAGAGCGTTTTTGACGCAGGATCAAGCTCCAGATGGCATACAAGGCTGTCTGTCCACTTGGTATGGATACCACCAACGCTGGTAAGCAAATGGGCATTGAGCGAGGCCGATGATACGGTATTAAATTCCCTTAGCCCCTTCTCGTCCTCTTCTGAAGCCAGAGCGCTGAAGTTACGACAGGGCAGCAGCATGCCAAAGCCAAGGGAATTCATGCAAAGCCTCTTTCAATCCTGTTTGGTGCTGCCGTAGGCAAATGTGTGCTTGGCCGCGACGTCCATCAGTCTCGTCGACGATGGCCAGCTGGGCGGGAGAGCGTGCGCCTATATTTGGCGAATATAGCATTGTCTCCTGACCGATTATTGCAAAAAGTAGGTTCCTAGCACAGCCCAGAGAGGCGTCGTTTTCCAACCTTAGCAGTCCTTGCTGAAGATGATGAGTGATAATATCGTTGACGCTTGAGTCAGACTTCATAGCTTGCACCCAGACCCCTCGCCAAATGGCAACGAATGAGTTAATGCAAGAATACTTCGCTTCCGCCTTAGGATTTGACATAACAGAATATAGTTCCTCTGGCTGTCCTTCGACCTGATGCCAGACCCACCGGTTATACCAGGAGGTGTCTTCGGACACAGTTAGAGGAGCATCATCGAGTAAAGGAGTTTGGCTAAGCACTGGCTCCTCTTCAGGGACTCGAAGTGTCGAAGCTAATCCAAAGTGTTAGAGCCAGCTATATCGAAGTGATAAATGGACGGGCAACCATACATGCTGATGTAAACCTCCGGACATGTGTCATTCTCCATATACTGCTGTGTGATGGCCTTCTCTCAATCCCATCGTCCAAGCCGAGTTGCTGATTCGTCTCCCAAGTTCGCGACATATCCTGCAGAAAACGTGTCGTGATACCTTTCGTGGAGAAATTATGTAGTATGTGTAAGGACTTCAGCTCGAACTTGAGAAATAGCGCACCATCAATATGTAATCATATCTCTTGAAAACGCCTCAGGCCATGAGACAAGGTAGCAAACCTTCCCGTAATCTTGGATAGTGAAACTGATGCTCAAATTGCCAGCCAGGAGCCTAGCTAGATT